TGGTTATGTACCACTTGGCAAGACACCCCTAACGTACCACTTGAAAGCAAAGCATACTACCCCTAACGTACCACTTGAAAGCAAAGCATACTATAAGCATACCACCCCTAAGTAACATAGTTATGTACCCACTTGAAACCAAAGCAAGACACCCCTAACCGTAAGAATGGTTAATGTACCACTTGAAACCACCAAGATTATTGAAGAAGCGTCTTCCAAGTTTGGTCGGGGAGGGGACGAATTAGTCTCCACCAAACAAACTACGCTGGCTATATCACTATATACATAGTATATACATAGTATATATATATATATACAAGGTCTATATATATAAATATACATATATGTATATACATAGTATATAATATATAGCCAGGAGTATATAATTTGCCAGGGGAGTTTGGCCGCCTTGGGGTTTGACCGGCCGCGCAGTTACTTCCCGCGGCCGGACTCACTAGTTTTACTCTCCTACTAGATCTTATCTTGTTCTTTTGCATTGATATATACATTTTGTACCAAAATATATACATTTGTATCAAAAAATCAACGAAGTGTTATCAGTCTGTTTATGCCTCCCATTCCCCATCCCAAAATAGACGAGGCTTACACATATGGTTTTGTTTCGCCATTAGTCATTTGTTATTTCTAAGGCCACAGCAAGTAAAGTTTATGGATAAAATCCACCGCAGTCTCCAAATCTAATGCGATAGGACGAAAAAAAGGTGGGCCGCAAAAAACAATATTCATACATTTTTCTATTTCATTCTTCTAAACAAGAAGTTTTACTGCCAACTAACTGTTACAACATTCACTTCTCACTAAAAAGACTGTAAAAAAATACAACTTTTCAATCATTGTACTAATATATTTGATTCAGTGAGAACACCACATATGGAATGCATCACAGACACAGTAACAAAAAACAACATTTACATCAGAGCCTTGTCATTTCCCATCCCTTTATATATACAGTATATCTGCCATACACGTTCCGGCATGAAAACAGACATCTTTGCCCATTTTAGACTTGTTGACCAATGTCAGAATGCAACAAAATTTCTTATCTTGAAAGTTCATGTGTTTATCAAAATGTCTAGTTTTTCTTTCCAAAATCAGGCGAAAATCAGTGCACGCTCTCATGTCATCCATGAAGATTACTTGCTTTGGCCTAATGTCTCAATCGGCGCCATGTGGGGAGGGCGAAACGGAACGATTAGTGACCAGTGTCTTGCTTTGATTTCAAGTGGTACATAACCATGTTTGGGATGGGGGGGGCAGGCTTACGTTAGGGGTGTCTTGCTTTGGTTTCAAGTGGGACATAACCATGTTGGAATGGGGGGCACAGGCTTACGTTAGGGGTGTCTTGCTTTGGTTTCAAGTGGGACATAACCATGTTGGAAATGGGGGGCACAGGTTTACATTAGGGGTGTCTTGCTTTGGTTTCAAGTGGGACATAACCATGTTTGGAATGGGGGGGACAGGCTTACGTTAGGGGTGTCTTGCTTTGGTTTCAAGTGGGACATAACCATCTTACGTTAGGGGTGTCTTGCTTTGGTACATAACTATGTTACGTTAGGGGTGGTATGCTTATAGTATGCTTTGCTTTCAAGTGGTACGTTAGGGGTAGTATGCTTTGCTTTCAAGTGGTACTTTAGGGGTAGTATGCTTTGCTTTCAAGTGGTACATAACCATGTTTGAAATAGGGGGGGCAGGCTTACGTTAGGGGTGGCTTGCTTTGGTTGATAGGGGGCACACGGACACGGACTTCCATGTGTGACATGCTAGTTGTTTCTATTCAAGGTACCTTTTTTTAAAACGATTTTTTGACACGGAATTTGCAAGGTATGATAAAGGCCCCTACGTAAGGCCCCTGTCGTGCATTCAAAACGACCCTTTTGAAGGCAGCATAGCAGACCTATTTACCTCAATTTAAGGTACCTTTTTTTGAAAAGATTTTTGACACAAAAATGATGCCATAAACACTTTACCGTTACGCCACACGACCCCACTTAGATTTTTGAAGGTCCATTGAAATGCGTACGTGATATTTCGATTTCAGGATGATACCTTTAGTAACTGTACTAAATCTAAGATAGGGGTGTCGCCGGCTTTCATTACTGACATACTGAACCATCAAACAGACAAAATGGCGAAAGATTGATGGGGGTTTTACCTTTATGTGACTATTATCTGTGACAATTTCTGAACACGCTCCGAACACTTGCTGTTCAAAGGTCCGCTCATGCCAAGACTACCCCTGGAGTACCCCCTCTATCAGCCACACGTCCACACCACTAGCAGCGTGTTGGACGTTCTCCATCTGGATCAGAAGAAAGTGCCTGAGCAACACCTCCACAAAGTGCCACTACCTACACAGAGGGACGATGGAGACGATGATCTTCTCAACAAACTAGACAAGCTTCGAATAGCAGGTAACATATGACCAACCATTCACAATGTCTAATGATTACCTGTAATATAATAGTGGATCATGATGAAAACATAAACACAATAAAGCATCCTCATAGGAACTTCAAACTCTACTACTGGATAAATTACGGAGATAATATCCGGACGTTTCGAGTGACTCCACCACTCTTCTTCAGCGTCACTAATGAACTAACAGAACACGATGAAGCATACTAGTATTTGAACAACTAGAAAAACCGGTTGAACATGACAAAGGTCCATAAGGTCATTGATATGTAAGGTACATAGGGTAGTTCCTATGGTTAGACAATACCATTGGAACTGCTAGTCACACGGTCCTTTAGGTTGTGGCAAGGCGGGGTACCCTATGTACCTTACATATCAATGACCTTAATTATGGACCTTTTGTCATGTTCAACCGGTTTTTCTAGTTGCTCAAATATGCTTCATCGTGTTCTGTTAGTATGAGTACTGTTTACCTGGATATCTAACCTTCATCAACGTAACAATAAAGTATAAATCGCTACCTTATTACGATGTATCAATGATTGGGCCTTCTACCGGCTAATCTGGGATATCTCATTGAAAGTGGGGTCGTGTGCCGCAACAGCAGAGTGCTCGACTCGGAACCAAGAGGTCCCGGGTTCGAGTCCTGACATGCCACCGATCTTGTGCCCTTGGGAAAGGCAATTTACACGACTTTCCTCACTTAACTCACGTGAAAGTGAGTATTGTCTGTCCTGTATTTGTTTCTATGTGTGGGACACAACACCAGCAACAGCTGCCTGTCTCACACGTGTATTGCGCTGTTACAACTTCAATAAACGAAACCAAATCATCTAATGAATCATCATTCTGTCCAAACAGCCAGCACACCCGAGGAAACACCAGAAGACACGGAGGTCGGGGAGATCAACTCTGTCCTCAAACCTGCTGGGGCGTCAGTTATACCAGCTCAGGAAACAACAGGTAAAAGAGATTTGAGGATTAACTTTGTCATATTAATAATCATTATGATAGATAAAATTATGAAATAAAGACTTTAACTGCCAACACTACAATGAATTGGGACTTATCCAAAATTCTACTCTTGGAACGTGACGTCAGAGATACGTGACCGTAGTAGCGGGTCATACGTGTCAGATAACTTGTGTCGCCCCCGTCTCTGACTTGCACCAACACAGAGAGGGAACATAGATGAACTTTCATGCTATGAAAGTTTGCTAACTACAAACAAATGGTAAAACAAAATTGTAAATCTGAATGTTTCGCTGCTTCGAAGTGTCAAAATGTGAAATTCAATTTAAATCCATAGATTTTACAGTGCTCATAGAAAATATTATAAATCCACAGAAGATCAGACCATTGGTGACACGGAGGTTCCACAGGTGATGTCAGAACTGGTCTCACTGGACATCAAGGAACTGGAACGACTGATGGGACCTCGGAGAAAGAGGACTTCCTCCATAAGCTCTGACTCATCTGGCTATGTGACAGGCACTCCAGGATCAGGACTCAGCAGACCCGACTCACCCACAGGTAGGAGGATTTAATACTAGCATGCTCATTTTGTAGAATATTCCTCAATCAGTGACTGTTTTTAAAGGGTAGAAACACGCACCTCCAAATTTTCGATGTCCACTGTACATCTTGATGACGGAGTGACCTAGTCTCGCGAGAACACAAGACTAGGTCGAGACTTGTGCGGATCTTCTGGCCTCCAAACTTCAGCCCTGAGCTGCCCACTTAGTCCTACCTACCCCTACTACACAAGGAGGCGGGGGAGGCCAGACGATCCGCACGAGTCTCGACCTAGTCTCGTGAGACTAATCAATTTTGTTACAATATCACAGATTTGCAATCATTTCGTCTTTAGCATCTTGTTCCAAAGAAGATTCTAGAATGGACAGACGTTAGGGTTAGTTTGTCTCTCTCTGATATCGTGGCACAAAAGGATTGCACATGCAAAATGTAATAGGGCAGCTGTAAGTCGTCTTTTGCACATTTTCGATGTCGTTTCTATTATTTGTCTGTTGGAAAGTCAACCTTTCGTATTTGCATGCTATTTGCTCTATATCTAAAGATGAAAACATCCAGGAAATTTATTGCTTCCATGAAATTGACTAAAGGCACTAAAAGGATCTTTCTCGGACACGTAGGCGAGGGTGACGTCCAGGGCACACTGGAGACTCTCCTTGCTGAACTAAACAAACCTGCAGTACTGAGAGACAAGGGAGAACAGTTTTACCTGTACTGTCAGATAGGAGATCTTTACATGACTAAACTACGCAACCCACAGTCAGCTCTGCAGTATTATCAGAACATGTTAGAGTGTTCTATGGCACTGTCAGAAGACGCAAAACAAGCCAAGGCCTACAGCAGACTAGGCGTAACCTGTGATATGCTAGGTCTCCAAGCTGAAGCCTTTACAAACCATGAAAAGGCTCTGGCTATCTATAGAGTAGATGCAGGAAATGAAACTGATGTTTGCATCGCTTACAAAAACCTGGCCTCATCATTGGCACTATCAGGTCAAGTGTCAGATGCAAAAACTAACTATGAATCAGCCTTGTCTGTTGCCGTGGAGACAGGAAACAAGACTGAACAGATGGAAATTTACTGCATGCTGGGTGATTTGCACAGGGAACAGCTAGAGGAACCAGAGGTCGCACACAGGTACTACACAGAGGTGTTGGCACTAGCCAGGGACTCGAGGAAGAAGAAAATGGAGGGGGTGGCTTACCACAAACTAGGACACGCTTGCTCGGACATGAAGAATTATGACGCAGCTTTGGAGTGGCATCAGAAGAGCCTTGAGATGATGAGCCAAGATGGTGGAAATAAGAGAGTACAGATGATAACACACACAGATGTGGGTAATGCATACAGAGTACTGGGAAAACCGGACCAGGCAACATCCCACTTCAACACTGCCTTACAGCTGGCACAGCAGACAGGAGATCTAGATGTACAGATTATTGTTTGCCTCGGGATGGGTGAGATGCACAGGGAACAACTCCACTCCCCACGTACAGCCATCCAGCATTATAAACAGGCTCTTGTACTAGCCAGGCAGTTGAAGGACAGGCATGGAGAGGGAGTGGCTTGCCACAGACTTGGACTGGTACATTGTGAGATCGAGGAGTACGAGTCAGCTCTAGAGTGGTTCCAAAGGTATCTGCAGATTAGCCAAGAGGAAGGACTGTTTGAGATAACAGCACACATTAATGTGGGTAATGTATACAGGCGAATGAGTAAACTGGACCTAGCAACATCCCACTTCAACACAGCCCTACAACTGGCACAGCAGACAGGAGATCAACATGGACTGATGGGGGTTTACTGTAAGATGGGTGAGATGCACAGGGAACAACTCCACTCCCCACGTACAGCCATCCAGCATTATAAACAGGCTCTTGCACTAGCCAGGCAGTTGAAGGACAGGCATCAGGAGGGAATGGCCTGCAACAGACTTGGACAGGTCCATTATGAGATGGGTGAGTATGGGGCAGCTCTGGAGTGGGGTCAAAAGCACCTGCAAATTGTCGAAGAGGATGGCAACAAAGAACAACAGATAGCAAACCACATAGATTTGGGTAATGTATACAGGCGACTGAGTAAACTGGACCTGGCAACATCCCACTTCAACACAGCCTTACAGCTGGCACAACAGACAGGGGATCAACATTGGCAGATAATGGTTTACTTCAAAATTGGTGAGATGCACAGTGAACAACTCCACTCCCCACGTACAGCCATCCAGTATTATGAACAGGCTCTTGCACTAGCCAGGCAGTTGAAGGACAGACATGAAGAGGGGAAGGCTTATGACAGACTTGGAATGGTACATTGTGAGGTGGGGGAATATGAGGCATCCCTAGAGTGTTGTCAAAAGTCCCTAAAGATTAAGCAAGAGGGCGGTGAGAAGAAACAGCAGATAGAAGCACACAAGAAAATGGGTACTGTATACAGTTTACAGGGTAATCTGGACCTTGCAGCATCCCATCTTAACACGGCCTTACAGATGACACAGCAGACAGGAGATCAACATGGACAGATGAAGGTTTACTTCGTTATGGCTGATATTCACAAAAATATACTCCACTCCCCACTTACAGCCATCCAGTACTACGATGAGGCTCTTGTACTAGCCAGGCAGTTGAAGAACAGGCATCAGGAGGGAGTGGCTTGCGAGAGATTGGGAATGGCTCGTTTCGAAATGGGGGAGCATGAGGCAGGTTTGAGGTTATTACAGAAAGCCTCGAAGATACGAGAAGAAGAAAATGGAGACAAGGGTGCACAAGGAAAAACTCATTCAAATGTAGACCGTGTATCAATGATACCGTATCTAGAAAGCCATGTAGCATCACAAAATGCAGAGGAGCAGCGTAAACAGATAAAGGCTATTTTCCAGATAGGTGAGATGCTCAGAGAACAGTTCCACTCCCCACGTACAGCCATCCAGTATTACGAACAGCACCTTGCACTAGCCAGGCAGTTGAAGGACAGGCATGAAGAAGGGATAGCTTACGATAGACTCGGGAGGGCCCATTTTGAGCTCAAAGAGTATGACAAAGCCCTGACCATGTATCAAAACCACCTCAAGATGAGACAAGAGGATAGAGACAAGAAATCACAGACAACAGCACATAAGAACATAGCAAAATCTTACAAGAAACTGGGAAAGAAGGACCTGGCCAAATCCCAGTACCAATCAGCTATGGCCATCGCCATTGAGACAGGTGACAAACTGCAACAGGATGACATTAGAAAGAAGATTGATAAGCTGTAGCAACACGCGGGCAAATCTTACTGCTACGCTATACCTCCGAATTGGTTAAAATGGTGCTGTGCTTGCATATGCACTGTATATATATGTTAACAGCAAAGTTGTTCGTCCAGTTCACGGTGTAAATTGCCCAGTGAAAGAGGGAATAATAACCCTCCAAAATAATGTTTATTAGTAAGAGTTTAAGAATAGCATAGTTTCTGCAATGGCCAAGACTAAGCCAATAAAGAGATTTTTTGTACCATTGGGAGTGTTGTCATTGCTTGTATCTAGTGAGTATCAAGAGTATCGAGTACATAATATGTCACAAGCTTATTTTAATTAAATAGCCCTATCATGGAATGTAGCTGATTAAATTATGCTAAATTTGACTGCTAAATCTGACTGCTAAATTTTTCCTCATTAATTATGCAAATTAGATCTTGTTTTGCATAATTTGTATTTCACAAAGTACATCTCTGTGTAAGCTACAAACCAAAAATCAAGGGCCCAATGGAAAAAACAAATCACCTAAGGTATAAGATGTAACCTTGTTCACGTACCAGTTACGAAGCTCACTAAGAGTCCCACGATGACACAGCTGAGCGTGGCCACCGCTCCGAGGTAGATATAAGACAGTTCGTACAGAGCTGCTTCGGGGGGACTACGGCGACAAGAAAGGCTTTTAAAAAGTGATGACGATGTGGGAATCAAATAATTAGTTACCTTTGTGACTTGAAAAATAGTGAATTGAAAAACACAACGTCAATCAAGGAGGTTATACTGGAGACATTATACAATGTAACCTCTTTTGTCAGACTAATTGTTTGAAGACGTGAAAAGGAGTCTAGAAATGTGTGAAATAGTTTGCAATTAAAAGCAGTGAAAGCTTTAGTGACTGGATAGGAAAAGATAGAAATTTATTAGCCTGGGTGTGTTGCTGAACAAATAAACTATACTCACAAATACACTGTGCCCACTGTCTTCTCTTACTGCTTTGCTGTCTTCATTTCCTTCTGCATCTTCAAGTCAAATAGTTTGTTGAGCTGTCATCGCAGGTTTCTCCCAGACTGGACAGCCTCAGCACACACCTGAAAATAGTATAAAAGGATGTGTTATGGAAAAAACATCCCCAGGCAACACTGAATAACCAAACTAATGATAGCATCATGCAAGTCAACTATCCCAATGAATGGATTTTGAACGAGTTGGGCTCTAGAAAACTGCTTTTAAAAGTGTTACAAAATGCACTGTACTTGTAGCATGTTACACCTCAGAGTTGTTATTAATAATAACATATGAGGCAAGGAATAAGTCATGTAAGTTGTCAAGCAAGTTGCTTTAATCGATGCACAAAAAGATAGGCTTTTCAAAGTGTTCAGTCTTCAAATCACCTGGTCTGGTCCTATCTTCTCTTGTCAGGTTTACGAAGAATTCACCACTACTGCATCAGTCAGCAGCCACCTAACTATACGGACATTAGAAGTTACAAACTTGTCTCAAATAACATCAAATAGCTGTAGGTAAAATGCAGAATTGGGATTTTTCTTACCTGATATTCCTCTTGGGTCTTCAGATCATCTGGTCTGGTCCAGTCTGTCTTGTCAGGTACAGGCAGTAGTCCCCACTACTAGTACTGCATCAGCCAGCTGCCACCTACAGTACATGTAACTACAATGTGTACAGACATTAAAAGTTACACACTTGTCTCGAATAATACCAAGTAAATGGTAGTTAAAATGCAGAATTGCAATTTTTCTCACCTGATATTCCTCTTGGGTCATCAAATCATCTGGTCAGGTCCAATCTGTCTTGTCAGGTTCAGACAAGAGTCTTCACTACTGCATCAGTCAGCAGACACCTAACTGCAGACATTAGAAGTTACACCCTTGTCTCAAATAAGACCCTACAGTTGTAGGTAAAATGCATAATTGGGATTTTCTCATCTGATATTCTTCTTCGGTCTTTAAATCATCTGGTCCAATCTTGTCTTCACTCCTATGTAAGTCGGCAGCCACCTAACTATGCAGACATTGAACGATACACACTTGTTTCAAATAATACCAAGTAAATGGTGGGTAAAATGAAGAATTGGAATTTTTCTCACCTGATATTCCTCTTGAGTTTTCAAATCATCTAGTCTGGTCCAATCTGTCTTGTCAGGTTCAGACTACTCACTACTGCATCAGTCATCACCTAACTATATACAGACATTAGAAGTTACACACTTGGCTCAACTCAAATTAACTGTAGGCAAAATGCAGAATTCAGATTTTTCTCACCTGATATTCCTCTTCGGTCTTCAAATCATTGGTCCAATCTGTCCTGTCAGGTTCAGACAGAAGTCCTCACTACTCCATCAGCCATCATCTAACCATACATACATTATAAGTTGAACACTTCTCTCAAATTAAAAACTAACAATGCACACACACACCTTAAATTTATATATAATATCTTTACTTTAAAACAAACACATACCTCGACGAAAACTGTACATAATTTGTATAGCAGGAATAACCACCTTTCGGCGTGACACACCAGCTTTGCAGACACGCGGCGCGGCGGCAGCTGGCTACATTACACCGATCGACTTGTTACACCTAACCCTTGAACATCTAACTCTAGCCATTGTTTAAAGCTATCTAATGACAATACCCCTACTGTACTTGCGATTCCACTCTGCAATAGTTCTAGGAAATAATGAATTCTTGAACACGTCGATCCTTGGTTGATAACACTGGTACTTGAAGGCATGGCTATTTCTTGTTCTCTTCTGGGCTGGTATTAGGTACTTAGTAATTGGGACGTCCACCTCTTTATTAGTCATTTTGTACATCATGCATAGTCTTGACATTTTTCTTCTGTCTTCCAGTGACACCAACTGTAGGTTAGTGGAATATGCTTTATGTGGAATACGAAAACACTCGGCGCAAAATGCTTTGAAAACAGGAATTGCTACCTTCTAGCATAGTCAACTGTGGTGTTTTGCCAGAAATACGTGTACTTGGTCATTACTATTTACTGAATTGCTCAAAAACGGAAACGAACAAGCTTTTAAATTATACATAATATATTGCAAGTGGTAACGAAGAACGAAAGTATGGTCACCTCGACATAACTAGTTTTCAACCGTTTTGTATCGTATTCATTTCGGCGCCCTGAAGCTTTGAGGCGCCCATCTTGTTTACGCAAATTTTTGGCGGGAAAAATGACTAATTATGTACACGGCCACATTCCAACAGGTGTTTTGAACCACGTGGAGATAAAGAAAAAAGTTTGGTCGATACACAATTTCTTTCAACAAATATAACCTCAAAACACTTAACAACTGACTAAAAGACATGCACATACATTTATCACTCTACAAGCGCACCCCACATTGAAAATGTTGTTGAAAACGCGATAGACTTTTCTAAGCCTGTCTAAAATTAGGAACGGCCGCTCCCTAATACAGAAATAGATCATTTCTTACGGAATATAACTTGACATGTTCGTACTAGTTACTAAGGAATAATGTCAGCCGAACAATGTACTGGTTTACCTGCAACAATGAGCGAAGTCGTCTCTACACCACGCTACTCTTCCCAACTGTCTCGCCATTTTTGTCTTCTCCAAAATTCGTCAGGTCAGGAAATCCGCTCTTTCCCTTCAAAACATCACCAGAAAGGTACAAATCCTCGGGGAACACTCCCAGACGTCTGCTGCACACTTACTAAGACATTCTATCGACGAAAACGTCTAAAAAGTACCCAGCAAGTTTGAAAAAAATCAGCCCGGAGTATTTCCGTCGTACGAAAGCGCCATTTTCAACGGACGATACCAAACTTGTTTTTACACAGGTGTGCAGAACGGCCCTGTATAATTAATGTGAAGTTGATAATCTAATTATGAGGACCAATGGCGGCCCGTTTCGGTGCCAGGCACTTATATGTGTCGAAAAAGGACGATTAGATCTTATTATATATATATGATAAATACAAGCAAAAAGTACAAATTTCCTACACCATATTTTCTATTAAAATGAGAACAATTACAGATATTTATTATTGGCGTACTAGATTACAAAACTGACGCCACCACATCGTATGGTGTAAAAGGCTGTGCACATCTCTGTTTCCTGAGCCCTTGAGCCACACAGCTCTAGTATAGGACGTCTGACGAGAAAAACGGTACCGAAAAAAGTTAAAGAATATTGTTAGTATCTTTAAGTTCTACTTACAGTAATAGTAATAGTGTGTGTGTGTGTGTTTTGTGTGTTTATGTGTGTGTATTGTATGCCTGTGTATGTCTGTGTTTTTTGTGTGTTTTAATAATAATTTTAGGTCTATACTATATGCTACGAGTACGAGTGCCTTGCAATACTATATTTTTTTGCCTTTTGGCTGCATCCGGACCCCCCTTTGACCCTGAAAATGGTCGCGAGCGTTGACCTTTGGTGTGTTTAAGGTATTATCGGTTTGATCCACTTTCCCTACGCTTCGCACAGAGGGTTGTCTGCTCTTGATACATTCTTTGTTTAAAAATATGCGCCAAAACGCTGTTTTCCACGGCTGCATAGCCAGATTCGGTGAAAATATGCACAATTCAAAGATCCTTTGGTGAAAATATATATTTCTTTGCGGATTTATGATGTTGTTTTTTTTTCGTTCCCGGAAGTGTTAATATCTGGTAAATGTAGCGAATCACAAGTATGCAAATTACTATTATGCAAACTTTTGCATACGTGCCTATATTACAACAACTTCTTGTAAACCCTTGTATATTTGACGTGCTATAAGCAGCAAGCTTCTGTATGTAACATTTCGAACCCCAGTCACTATGTTTTCGATCGAAATCATGTGTGGATACGCACCATGTGCCCGCGTTTTGCTTCCTCAGGAATGTATGTCGTAACACTGATTACCGGTTATTTTTAACGTCTGATTTAACGGTTCCGGTTGTCATTCTGAGTTTCATTGCGAGTTCCTTGCGGCAGATTAAATAGAATTTCATAAGTTCATGGGTACATGTTATAAGCTGCAGATGAAAATGTTGACCTGTGTTAACACAACCTGGAACGCTAAGTCTAACACATAAAATTTAACACCATCAACTATACTGTACATAACAAACATATAAGAATATACAATAACAAGCCCGGAGGTATAAAATCTCAGATTTTACTTGTATTCTATTCTATTCTAAGCTACAGTACGTGTACTCAGAGTCAACATCTATTTTCCCATTGAAGTAAACACACAAACACACACATAAGAGACACGTGTCATTGGTGAGAAAATTATATTTTCGTTACATCACAAATTGTTAACACAGTGTATGTGTTGTGAGCACTAGTGCTGTCATCCGACCATACATGTATGTATGCCTCGGAAACCTGTATCAAATTACTATGTAACTAGAAAGGTAACATATGCAATGCAAATGCATAATGTTTACCTTCGCATATGGTTTGCTCTGTTACTAGTAATTCTTTCTCAAACACATCCATACATATGGTCAGACAGGAGTCTAAATCCCTCCTGCTGTAAAATTGCAACATGATGTCACCCGACACCAGTTACCATGGTGATAGATCTCAACAAATCAGGCCATTAGCCCGGTCAGAGGTCAGTGTTTGGAACAGAAGAAGAAGAAGAAGAGGAAACGTAACAAAAACAATTTTCCTTCGGTAAACATAATAATATTCAAATAGCGTGTTCCCACTATAAAATTCAGGAGCGAACTGGCCATGGATCTAATAAGTGAATTTATAATTATTATGAACTATAGAACTAGTTCGAATTTCAATCACAGATACTGCAGTTAGATCTCACGTTGATATACCTTAGTCTCTACCAGACTAACTACGCTGGCTCTATATAGGAGAATATATTTGCCAGGGGAGTTTGGCCGCAGTTAGGGAAAGAAACAACCTTCCCGCGGCCGGACTCCCTAGACCAATTTTACTCTCCTTTTTGCCGAATTCTTCGATCCGTATTCCCGTAGAAAGGCCTGGTGGGGGCTAGATATGCGGCATGTGTATGTGTCCTGGTGAAAACGTATACATAGCTACCTCAGAACTGAGAATTGAGATACATTGTATATTAACGTGAGCAAAGTTTTAACGCTAAAATATAAAGTCTAAAACTAATACAACTAAAAAAGGCTCATGTGATGGAAAAATACAAGCCGGAGATACATTTGGTGTGATGTGAAATAACCAGGGTAGTGGCCAATCAGGGAATAGTACCAGTTGCATGGTTCCCGCGAAGATCTGGTTTCATCAGGTTGGTAAGACACTAAGTAAAGAGACTCTTTTTACACATCCAAGTCTTTTATATTCAGTCGAACTTTCGGTGACCGTCTGTCATCTTCCTCAGGGCAATTCTGACTGGTTCACATTGCACTGCAGCACATGTGTCGCAGGGACCGCATTGTAGATACAGTTCCCTGTATTCACGCATATGTGTAGATATGTAAATATTGTACGTTTGGGAATGCATCTTTACCAGCGACACATATGCGTGATTACAGGGAATTCTATCTACAATGCGGTCCCTGCGACACCTGTGCTGCAATGCAATGTGAACCAGTCAGAATCGCCCTGAGGAAGGTGACAGACGGTCAAAAAAAAAATTAAACGTCGGCTGAATAAAAGACTTGGTTGTGTAAAAAGAGTCAGTCTTCTTTACTCGGTTCCTGAAGATGTTTTTAACCATAAATGGTCTGTGGTTGTCCCCAGACTGTTTTACAACCTGGTCCCTTGGTCAGTAGGTGGAAGCCCGCTGGTTACAGGCGACAGCTCGACGTCGAGACCGGCCTTGTCCTGGAGATGGAGAAAATCGTCATGTCAAGGTTACGGGTATTTATAGACGGTCTTACACACGCATACACACACATATGCACACACACACACACACACACGCATATATACACATATAGAAAGAACACGCATACACACGCGGGCGCACGGACGCACACACACACATATGCAAACGCATGCACAAACACATAGTCACACACACTTACATACAGTGTGAAGGTGTGCGTCATCTAAAAACAAGCAAACAAACACGCACACACACATACACACGCGCGTGCACACATGGTATGGGGTCTGTCCTTGGTGCTGATTGGTTATCGGTCGACTAACAACTTCTTTGGGTGACGTTCTTAGCTCTTAATGTTTAACGGAATAATAATGTTTTTTTATTGTTAGACAAGCACTATCCCACCCATATATGTTGAAATACGTTTGAGCTGTAATTTTCCTTGTGGACTTACCAACATTTTCCATTGTTCAACTCCAGTATTTGTCAAAGGATAAGCAGTTCACCGCTTGTAGGTAAGTCTGATTTCTTGTGTTGGAAATGACAGTTTAAACCTGTTTCAGAATACTACCAACGCATGCAGTAGCCTGGTATCTTACGTGATTTGGGGTATTGGGGTGTTCAGGCAGGTTGTGCCTTCGGGGGCTCTAATAGCTTCCCCCGCCCAGTGCAACAGGCCGTCCCGTTAGGAGTGTTACGCTAATAAAAGACAGTGTGCCTGGGGATTTGGTTTCCCCCTAACACGCGTGGAGAGCTAATCAATCTCTCGTGAAATACACACCGGGAAACCTATGTGAGGCGGGCGGGACAGAGCTCTTGTGGCCCCGACCGCGATCAGACTGGATAACAGGCTAGGCTACGCATGCAGATGAACCTTCAAGCTAACCTATACATGCTACAGGCTACATGCGCTCACTTTTACGGACTCTGGCGATGGAAGCTTCACAACTTACCCCCTCGGGTTCCCCATGCCTGACTCCGCATCGCAGCCACTTCAGCCAGCGGTTCGGCAGGCAGCAGAACACGCTATCGTAGAACGGCACGATCAGTTTAGGGTCCACTTTCTTCGGATCCTGTGAGCCTGTCAACAAAAAAGATTCTATAATACAAGAGTTTGGCGACTTCATTCAAGACAAGGCTCTGATTTATTGCTTGGTCTTTTACTTTTATACGTGGTTGCAAAGTCTTTTGTAACCAAATAATAGAAATCTGCGTAAAATAATGTAGCTGACCAGGGGAGCTGACCAGCCATAGAGGGTCCAGTTTGCTTGCAAAAGAGTCTAGATCTGGTGGAGACGAAGCTTTGAAGGTAAAGTTACCTTCGGGCAGTTGTCTAACCCCGACTGTTACAAGAAGTTTCTTCATTGGAACAGTCTACCACAGGCCGTAATTGACTCAGAGTCAGTAAATGAGTTCAAGACGAACCTAGACAAATACTGGGAGAGCAAAAAGTATAACACTGAGTGAAGTCGAGATCGGGATCACCACAGGATTACCTCTCATCCCGAAGACGGTATCAAGGTATCAAGGTTCAGTTTTCGTCGACGAGATTGACCGCAAATATGTCCACCTGTTCTTCAGGGGTGTCACGTGTATGGGCCAATAGAATATCCTGCTAGATATGGACAGGAAAAAAATTGAAATACTGCTGTCTAAGGTTCTAGGTAGGGCACAGCCTCAGAGAAGTGTGCAACAAAGAAACCCCCCCTCCCCACCTGCAAAGCAAATGTTATGGTATGAGCTCGAGATGACCAGTTTGTTTAAGTCAATTCCTGTCAATGATGAATTCTATATGCTTGTTTACTATCATTTACTACAGTCAATAAAGAATCTCGTAATGTCAGGTTATCTGTTTTAATGATGTATATTTTTGCTTTGTGTAATTTAGTAAATACTTCGTGTAAATAAGCAAATATTAAAAGCATACACCCCTGTAACCCTTTATGGTATAGCCCACCTATGACATAGTAAGGTTCAGGTGTAACTGATGACCTGCTTGTTAGAGGCTCTATGATTGGTGCAACCTGTTGGTAGGTTGCCGTAATAAAGCAACAATAAAAGAACACTATATTTTTCAAATATACAACCATATAACGTGTTGCGAAGATTTGAGCACTGAAAGACTTGTTTTAGCCCCGCTGCTCGAAAGACTAGTGATTAAGCAAACACTATAATCAACCAATGAGAAGGCCCGTAACAAATGCTAGCATGCTCACCGCAAAGTTTGACCTAACTAAAAGACGGAACCGTTATTCAGCCCGTAGGACACCTGCATTTGATTCTTCTGAAGAAAGGTAAGTTTTGTAAAATGTACGTTTTATACAAGATGACAAGGTTACTGACATCGATAACTAGAACAGTTTTGGGGGGAAAGTGGCCAAGTTGAAGTGTTGTTTCCAAATGTTTAAAATAGGTATGCTATCACGCCATGCCACGTGATGAAGAACTTTGATCTAAAGCCAACAATGCCGTTATATTGGCGTCTAGTTTACGATATAAGCAGCGCTTTTGTTTTAATAACAGAACATAACGATACATAAAGCCTGAGAGACAATGCTGACAATATTCGGTAGCAACGAATAGTTGTATTTTATTCTGCGTTAGTTCGAAACTCCGTGTCACTTCCGGGTTCGGGAAATTGTAAAAAGTACGCAACGAGGCAAAGGTCACACAAAAAACGATGCACCACAAAGCTCATACGAAACACTGTCTTTCCTGCATTAGACTAATCTCAATAAAGATATCGTAACCTACGTATACCCTGGGTGCCAGCCAAGTTTACGGGCCGCTAGCCGTTTCTTTCGGCAGCCAGAAGCCCTTGGCCCGCAGACCTAAATTACCGCTGCGGTGGAATTGAGCCCGTGGGGAGGTTTCGGAACTCCCCCTCCCCCCGGGCTAGACTCCCCGCTATGCAGGGTAATCGTAACCTGAATATTATGTTATTATTATATATTC